TTAAATACATTACTCATTGACACGTTGTCTGGTCTAAAGCCATAGTTCCACTACAGTGAATTACAAGTTCAATGCAAACTGAAAACCACTTACCGAGCAAACTGGATCTACATTTGTACAGTGGCGCTTGTAATCGCTGTTTTGCTGGAAATCATCGATGCAGTCAGGAGACACAGTATAAGTTGGGTGTTCCATGTACACACAGTCATAGCAGCTCAACGCCAGCGACCACCGGATAGCACAGAAAAGAACTGAGGATAGGTGAAAGAAAATATACATAAATAATTTGTGTATCAAAATAGTATTGATCTTCAAGAATATATTATATCTGTTGCCATGTGGTTGATGTTGTACTACATGTACAATAAATGATACTCTAATATCAAATGGGTACGTTCGAGATACTACAGTAAGTGAATTGTCAGATCAGACGTACGCATGGGTTTAACATAGTAGAGTGAGTGGTAAGCAGTACTAGCCAACATTCAGAATTTGCCGTGAACCATAAAACCAAACAGTGTTGTTCAACCCAAACAACTTGCTTTCAGTCAAATAAATATGTATCACACATGCGCACATATAGCTAACGGCACACATACAAAATAACAAACACCTATCAAAGCACAATCTAGAACAAAGGACGGCCACTGGATATACTAGTATTCTGCAAAATGGATAAGTAGATAACATAATAAACATCGTTATTCTAATATAAAAATCACTTACATAATGCAGCTAGGAAAGGTGATAACATCTTGTACGTGGTGTCTCCTAACCTATATTGACTTATTCATCTGCATGCCTACCCATCTGGTGTGCTATGTGTTATTGGAGAATAACTCGAAGGGGAGCTGCAGGAAACTCCTGCAAAATAAACGTACTCGGTTTCACCAGGTACTAGTACATTGGGAATGCCGGGGTAGACAATTACCACACACAGTGATGCAAATAGAATGATGTTCTGTGCAAGGTATCTAGTTCCGACATTTTCTATTACGTAAACATCCGGGTTCCAACCGTCCGATATTACATTTTTTTCCCAGTAGTTTATGTAACCATTTTTTTGAGAAAAATCTGCTGAATTAAATATGTTCACATCACAAAAAAACTAGTTTTAGTACTACTGTTTATACAGTATCGCATAGACTTGTTCTTGTTCGTTAAATGATAAATATATTGTATTGTTGCATCCACTGTTTTGTTTACAAAAACTCGATGTAAGACATTCATTCAAAACCTACTAGTTTATTTTTTACTGCACATAATGTATTGCGTAGGCATGACTTTGTTTTCAACAGTGTTCATCGAAAAACGCAATTAATAGGTTATTGGATTATAAACTTATACAGTGTCACATGTTTTGGAATATTCGAACGTAATCTCGCAAGTCGGACGTTCGAAATTACATTATTATGCCGACCACAAAACCGTTCTTCATTTTTTAATGAATATTTATAAATTTCAAAGGCTGTTGCTCTCACCCAGCTAATCAAGCATGCAATGACGTCACGCATTTAGAGGATGGGTGTTTTCAAACAAACGAGAGAACGCATTTGTGGTCGTGACAGTACCAAGAGACGTTGCATCAAGGACGATTCGCAGATGCGCGTTACTGTGTTCTTTAGTGTGTTGGGTTTAACAAGATGCGTTTGATTACGCTATTGTACTCGCGGTATGACCACCACCACCAGATGGCAGGAAATTGGCCACAAAAACAAGGCGCAGCAGTGACGGGCCGATGACATCTCGTGCACATGACCATTTTCAAATATGCGCAAACACCATTTCCGCATTATCGGTGACCCCTAGAAATGACCCCACAATGCTGAGATTAAGTTGATATACAAATAATGTTAATATATCGCATACCGTAGACCCTAAAACGAGTCTGTGCGCATACGTACCTTCTATACTGATTTACACTCGTAACAGGTATTAGATGTCAGCACAAACTGAGGATATCTGCAGTACAGGGCACAATGGCGGAACAATAAGTAATACGCATGCTCAGAAAGGAAGGGTCGTTGACCCCCCATTGCTGCATTGTTATTATCATCAGGAATTCCATTATTAGTTGCAAGCGCGATTTGCTGGTTGTTATACATGCTATACGGACGAGGCGTGTTAATGTCACATTTTAAATGTCCAGACTTAAATGCCGCTGACTTGATAGGCCATCCTTCCATACTAAATAGTATTGCCAAAAGACTGATACAAACATGTTTTTTTTAGGGGTTCTCAACTGTAAGGTCCGAAAGGTATCTCGCTTGGTGATTAATTTCTCAAAATAGATTGGTGTCTGTCCATTTAAGGTTTTATAAGTTATGCACAATATTTTGAAATGTAGCCGTTACTTAACAGATAACCAGTATAACTGTTGTCGAATTGATCTGATAGAACCATGTATTAATTTGAGTTCGAGACACTCGTTGCAAAAACAAAAGCCAGTAATGAAAAACTCCATCGCATTAATTATGTTTTTATGTTTTATCCTGTACATGGAGATTATACCGTGATTGTAACATTGTATCGTTAAAAATAGTATCAAAACCAATGTCTTGAAATAAGTTTACAATTAAATGACGTAAACCAGTAAATTAAACCAGTCTGCTTTTATACCAGGTAGAAAAATTGTTGACAATATCAGACTTATTACATATAATATTGATTATTGTGAAAATAGTGGTCAACCGG